AAAAAAAAAAAAAAAAAAAAAAAAAAAAAAAAAAAAAAAAAAATGTGTATACCTTTCGAAAACCTTCCTCGACCGTCTTGACGGGACCCGCGGCGGTTATCGCCTGGAGTATGTGGCCGTACTGCTCCTTTATCGGGTAGTCCCAGACACGATACTCGACCTGGTCGCTCGTGCTGTTGAGCGTCAACTCTTTCCATACTCTGGTGGGATAAAAGCAAAATCGAGATTCAGTGCTCCGTGTGTCGTTCGACGACTACTTATTGCGCTTGTTGTGGCTTACTGGTAAAGTCGTTCCTCGGCGCTCTTCATGTTCTTGAAGTACTGGTGTACCGTCGAGTTTTTGAGAACCGTGTAGTTGATACGCGATTGCCGGGCCAATTGCTCCAGCGATTGCACCGGCGACTGTTTCAACAATAGCCCAGTATATATTTTACTCATTCGGGGGTGGGGGGGGGGGGGGGGTGAAAGGCATTGGATAAGCCTGCGCGAGCACTTCCGGCCAGGCAGGCGTGTACAAAGTGTAAACAGGGACTGCAGGGGGCTGGGGTCGTGGACACGTACCTGCATCCGTTCGACGGTGAGGAAGGCGGCCAAGTTAGCCGTGAAAGTGGCGAGCATGAGGACGACGAAGAGCCAGTAGGCGGCCACGAGGGTGCGGCTGGACAGGGCTTTGGGTGCTTCGCCACCGCCCTGGGGCGTGAACGAGGTCAGGGCGAACCAGAAGCTCTCCTTCAGGGTGAACTCTCTGCGAGCAGAAGGGGATTTTTCGATACATTTCTTTTTTTTTTCTTTTTTTTTTTTTTCCTTCAATTTCTCAAAGGGAAGCCTCACCTGCACGGATAGGGGTACATTTGCTTGTTGTTGCGAGCACTGTAAGGCGAGTACTTGTCGAGCAGCCAGATCATGATGCCCGTGAGGGTGAGCGCCCCGACGATGCTCAGCCAGACTTCGATCTTCAGGACGGTCATGAACTTGAAGAGGGACGCTCGGCGCACGGGCTTCCGCATCACTGGAAAAGAAGAAAATTTACTCCCCATCGGCTCGTGATTGATGCATATAATATAAACATACCGACTAGTATGCCGGACTGCTCAAAGTACGGAGCCACAAAGTCTATGACTTCCTCGCGTTCCGAGGTCATGGTGAGGGCCGCCACGGCGATGTCGGTTTGCTAAAAGGGGATGAAATTCGGGTATGTACACGCGTGCGCTATGTGTATGTCATACAATAAAGGATGAAAAAGTGTAATCGTTGGTCGCTCACTCCCTTGGCGAGGTCGCCGACCAAGCCGGTCCAGACACCATCGATTTTTTGCCCGAAATCCCCGTCCTCCGGCACCACGATGTCGTAATCAAAGTCCATCATGCTGGCTAGCTTGTCGATGAGGTCGATGCAGTAGCCGTCCAGCTGGTAGCTGCCGTCCGATTTTCTCAGAGGCTCGCCGGTCTCTGGGTCCAATTTCTTTATCGTCCAGGGAATCGACTGTTGGTTTTTTATTTTTTTATTTTTTCGTTTATTCGTTCATCCAGGGAGTGTACAACAGTATGTTATTACTTTTGTGTCCCCTTACCTCGGTGGTGCCGATGCGAAAGTAGCGCCGAGCCGCTTGGATCGTCCGATTGGGCAGGGCCTCGATGCCGTGCTCCCGATCCCAAGTGCCGTTCGTCTCGAGCTTGCCGTTGCTCAGTACCTTCAGATCCGCCTCGGCCTTGTACGCTATGAGGTTTCGCTTCTTCACGTACTCGAACGTGTCGTTGTTGGCTATTTTCTGTGCGTCACCACAATTTTGGGTTTTAAATCGGCCTTTTGGCTTTATACGTTAAAACGTACCGCCCGTCACAGTGGAAAAAGGCCAATCAGCGGTATTGAATTTAATTTAATTGAATTTATTCGAGATTACACAGTAACAACAATAATAATTGTAAAATAATATTCACACAAAGTCGGCATTGTTGTATACATAAAATGTTGATAAATGGATTTGAAAAGGATAAATAACTTTCCGTGTCACATGGCTGTATTTACGAAGATCGCGGATGTGTACAATGTATTAAATTAGCCACGAGTGATCGTCTTTGCCGATCGTTGACTTGAAAATACCGATGCGCCATCGTCACCTTTTTCCACTGCACGCGCATCATCAAACATCGGTGGTTTCCTTACGGCCATGAGCTTCTTGTCGAATTCTAATAGGGTCCCGTTCGTACTGGCGCCCGTCGCATTTTTCGTGTTGCACTGGCCGGTCTGCGGCTCCTGAAGCAAGTTGGCCGACTGCAGTTCGCTCAGTATCTCGACAACGAGGTGGACCAGCCGCCGGAAGTAGTGATCGAAAATCTAAAAGACGCATCGTGATTCGCAACGAAGCGCTCCTTCGAGCATATATGTGTATATATATAGGGTGCAAAAGGGCTCACTTGAAAATCCGCCGGACACTCGCAGCGCGGGTTGTCGGAGTACATGAGGTGGCAGCACACCGATTCCTTCATCGCGAGGGCGCTTATGGTGACGTTGAGCGGGACGTTGTTCTTAAAGTACGAGAACTCCTTGTGGTCGTAGTCCATGAACACCAAGTGCCAAACCCCGTCGCGTTTCACCAGACCGCCCTCCAGTGCCTGCACGAACACGTACACTTATTACGTTTACGATGCGCGTACAGGGCCGCGTGTACAATATACGTGTGTTTGCAGAACCGCGTATGAAATGGCGTTATGTATTTTTATAAGGATCGTGCACAAAAGTGGAAAGAAAATGAAATTACAGTTGACACGTCGATGCGATGCGCATAAAATCTCGCGTGTCTCTCGAAATTAGACGGCGTCCCCTGTAACTTGTATGGTTTTTTTTTTCATATGCGCGATAACATTTTCATGGCAGGTATATGTTTTAATAGCTACTATACCGAGCAAACAACTGTTTGAAGGGAGAGAAAAAAAACGAGGTATCCGAAATGCGTGTATTATTACGTAAAAAAGTGCACGTGTATGTGGGGAGAGGCCGTAATTCATATGTTATGTGCGCATTGGCGAGTGAAAAAAAAAAAAAAAGAAGAAAAAAAGAAAAAAGGTATGAGGAATTAGAAGAGAGTCGAGAGCGGGTTCGAGGAACTCTCGTTTTCTTTTCCATTGAGCGCGCGCCTCCTTTACTTTTGTGCATGGTATACAGCTGCCGTTGCGCGATGCAAGAAGAGAGAGAGAGAGAGAAAAAAAAAGAGGTGTATAGCTATATACGGACGGTCTTGAAGAGTTCCTCCATCTGTTTGGTTTTGGCGTAGATGATGTAGTAGGAGGGCAGGGGCCTCATGTTGCCGATCCGCTCGACCGTCTGCGGCGAGAGGTAGTCGATGACGACCAGCCGGATTATGGAGTTGCCGATCAGGTAGTACAACGTCTGGTTCAGCTCTGCGTTTTTTTTTTTTTTTTTTTTTTTTTTTTTTTTTTTTTTTTTTTTTTTTTTNTAATAAATATTAATATATTGTTAGTAATAGTAGTTATAATAATAATCCTTCTTACAGGTAATGAGACGAGAGTATCTTTTCTCAGGGAGGATGCAAATACATCGCAGTTACAGAGAGGAAGAGAAATAATCACGTGTCGTAGCGAACGAAAGTTTACAAAACTATAGAATCGCTGTTGTGCGATAATTCTATCGATTTATGTTTGCACTTTTTTTTTAAGCGACCACGTGTTAAATGTACACAGAAAACAATACAGTGTCATCGTCGAATGAGGTAGTACAGTATAGGTAGGGATACATCAATCAGGCACAACGACAATGGAAAATGCGTCAGAAGAGTATATTAGCATCAGGCATTGGTGGAGTTATAAAAATCAATAGCGTCACGAGTAGCGGTAAGGAGGTGAAAGTGTAACAAAGAGAAGGTGCAAACAATAGCCGCAACGAGGGAAAAACGACGGTCTCGGATGAACGAGTCCGAAGAAAGTGAAGGGTTGGGCGGCGTTGGTCGAAGACGGTGCGAAAGAGGAGCCGTTTTAGAAAGGACCAGAGAAAAGTGTCACGGATGCGGGGAGAAAGTGAAGCCTCGAAGGGATCGCTCCTTTTGGTGGAGGGAAAAAAAGGCACTAGCGGGGGAAAGTTCGCCAATCGGAAAGCAACAGGGGGAGAGATTTTTACGGCTCGCGCTCGATAGAGATTTAGTTTTAAGAGATCATGGATACAGTGGTTGTAAAGAGTTTTACATCAAAACCGGGATTTTTCCTTTTTTTTTTTGCCAAGTGCAAACCAGCGTGTTGGCTGTTTGTACGACAAACACAAATTCCGAGCTCTTCCAAGGAGTCGTCAAATATTTGAACGGAAGCTTAACAACGTTTGTTCGAGGCACACACGCGCGATTATCTGTCGAAACAATCGTCGACTTTTGTCCCAGGCATCTAGCAAACAGTGCGGTTTAACTGTACCGAATGATACGCAAATTAGCACATTATTTCTAAAGAATACGTGATGGTAACTTTTTACACCGTTTCTGTGTTTGACGAGACAACTCATTTTTTTTTTTTTTTTTTTTGCTATCAATAAGTGCGACAGGTAAAAAGGGGGCTGGCGAAGAGGAGGGGGCGTAGATTCATCATTAATGCATCGTCGGATGGGTACGTGCGCGCAGTGATTATACTTCAGTTTCGTTGGACACACGTCGGGACGCCTACAAGTCCGAGCCTTGGGGTGAGGGGGCGGGTAGGATGTGCCAATGGTCCCGGATGACTGGTGGATTTTTCTTTGTCCCTTATCAACTCGGATCTGGGTCTAACGCCTGTCTCCGTACACCTTGTTTTTCCCTGTTTTTTTTTTTTGTTTTTTTTTTTTCACTCAGTTACTTATATTTTTCGGATTACAAAAAGAATTCAACAAATTGTCGTGGCCAATGACAGCCCGACGTGTTGATTTTGTTAAAGTAGTTGCATTTTAAAAACACTCGTACCATTTCTGTGACTTAACGATTATTGGATACCTGTTAAATGTAGTTTGTGGTAACGAAGGGGAAAAGTACTCGTCATCGAGTGTTGGCGCAGTAAATAATGATAAACGCCAATGTAAAATTTCACTGATGATATATCTCGTATAAAACGATTTGACGCATATACAGTTAACGGGCCTTTGAAATACTGTACTAAATCTATCTGTTATCAACTATTTCTGTAATTATATTGAATAAAATGATTTTTTTTTTTTTTTCCTCAAATCGTTGCCGTAAGCAAAACATTCCTGTCAGTAGATTCAACGCACTTTTGCAAAAGGGCCAAAATCTGTGACAGAATGTTTCACCTGTTTCAATATTTTTTAATTTTACTAGTCGACAAAACTGCCACGATTTCATCATCTGTTAAAGATTCGCACTATACACTTCGACATTGAGGGGATAAAAAAGGAGGTACGCGAAAGACAAAAAAAAAAAAAGCACGTCCTACCTTTTTCGAAATTCCCGTCGACGTACTCCCTGTCGACCAGCACGTACTGCACGTCCACCTTGATGAGGTTCGCGCCGAAGGTGCTCTCCGCCTCGGACATGATGCCGTTGATGCTGCTGAGTATCCCTGCGTCGGGCTCCTCGAGCACCAGCACTGGAACAAAAACGAACCAACAGTATGAAAATCGCGGTCTCTGATCGGTAGTCGCAGGGAAACCCACGTATGGTGACAGGAGCCTGGGCTGCAGCGAGTCCAAAGCACAGCGCAAAGATCGCCAAGGCGACCGAGACTCGACTCCTCGCCGACATGGCTCAATTTTTTTTTTTTTTTCCAACTTGAGACGACGCGCTGATATTGCCAACGAGTCCAAGGGTTGTTGTCAGGGTTTGGTGTTGGGAGGTAATCCGACAACGGGACGCCGAGCTCGACTAGTATCTTCGATGGGGACGGGCTCCGGAAAAGCGCCGTTTAGATCCTCGCGCACGCCTGCGCCGCAGTACCATCGCTACGTGCGCTTTTACTGTCCGTCAAATCATGACCCTTTTACGTCCTACTTTGATGTGTATGTGTGTGGAAGGAGATGGGGCGAGTTTGGTACAATTTTTTTTTTTTTTTCCTCGAGCACAAAGTGTGATCAAGATGACCGTAAATGGCTGTAACTGACAGTTTTTTTCGATGTTTCCCAAGAGGTGTAGGGTAACATCACCAAGCATAATTTTAAAAGAATAATTTTTTCGTGCAACTCGTATGCGAAAAAAATAACGCACCTCTTCTTTTCAAAATCAGCTGAAGAATGAAAAAAAAAATCTATCCCTGATGTATAAATAGCCCTTGGTCAGAGAATGAATACCAAGAAGCGCAACTTGGCTTGATTTTTTTGTCCTCGAAGGCAAAATACTTTTTCCTCAAGTTGATGATTTTACCTCGATTTTCCCCCAGTGTCTCCATTGTAGTCACACGGATGATGTCCTGCAGGTGACGGCAAAACTTTGTACCTACGTATTCACCCAACGCGTCTATTGTCGCAGATTTGATCAACATGAAAATTCATCCGATACTTTACCTCAAGCTGCGTATACTTTGTTTTCCATTTGACTCTAAAAATCACCATTAAATTAAAACTTTCAATAATTTTTCAAAACCAATTATTTACACAAATTGTGCACCTCCTTGTAATCGGCACATACGATGGGCTCACTTTGTTTTACAAGCGTGTGTTGCATTACACGTATGGGATGTTAAATTATGTAAAAACGCTTTTACAGCCGCCCAAAGTGTAACGAGAGCGTGACACATTGCGAACTTTGTTTCCCTGTTTTTTTTACCTTTGCGTTTCTGTGTTATTGATTTCCAAGGTCGGAACTTTTTACACGTATACGTAATAATAATAATAATAATAATAATAATAATAATAACGAATGNTTCACCGCGTGATGATGTTTTTTCCGAAATTCTTTGCTGTACTGTATATATTCCCGGGAGCTTATTTTCCGTCATCGATACTCAACGTAACGTGTGCAATAAAATGTATTCGTGACCCAGAATGGCCCGTGTATTTTACTCCTCTCTCGATACAATAACGACCCTCGCATTCCTTCAATATCGCTCTGTGCGCTTAAAATTATGTTCTTTCATGAAAAAAAAAAAAAAAAAAAAAAAAAAGGTAAATAGAATAAAATCGCTGGAGTGAACAAAATGAGAAATGTTATACTTGCAAAAGGAGTGCATTGATTTCTTCGAAGTGCTTCGATTTGTCGGATAAACGGTGTCTGTGGTGCACATTTATATACATTACACGCGACGTATAATCGATATAACCCCGTGCTCTAATGTCCGATTATTCTGCTCATTTTTTTCTGCATACGCGAGTAATAATTGCCCAAGATTTGTTTTCACTAGGTGTTATAGGTATAATGTGCAAAATTTGATAAATATAAAAAAAACTTCAATGTGTTAAATGTACACTTGGTTCTTCCTCTGATTTGTTTTTTTTTTTTAATTGAAATGCTGATTAAAAAACTTCATTGCTCATAACTTTGTGGATTGGAGAATTTCGTGATAAATCGGTCTATGTTGCAATCAAATCTGAACGCATGTACTGTTGCGTGAAATTTTCAAAGTAAGCATTTCTAATGACTCTTAATACTCTTGGTTTTTATACCGGTATAGCCAAAACCACGAAAATCCCAATCCACCGGGTGAGGCGTGAATCATAATAATAACAAGGGATGAAGCTCACGGAGAAAGGGGCGGGGGAGGGGGGAAACGCGAGCTGGCAAATGTTTGGACTGTCCAAGTAGGCCTACATCCATTGTGACGTGCAACAACGACAGGGAGAGGAAAATCGATCGCGACGAGGAAGAGTATCGCGACGCCGAACATACGGGCGCTTCGCTCCGTCTCCCCACAGCCGCGAGCCAAGGGTGTATCATTTGAGGAGACAAGTTGTTACGCGCTTTCATTATTCAGCGCGAAAATAGAGAGAAAGAGCCGTTGCATCACGTATCGACGGTATAATATACACATTGCAAAGGGTACCAATTTTCTCGGGGCAACCTTTTGAAATCGAATCGCTACTTACGCTTCATCGGTTCGCGACTCGTGAAGAATACTTTTTTTTTTTTTTTTTTTCGGTACAAGATGCATTATAATCTTGCTGCAAATGGAATATATTCAGGATTTTTCATTGCACGTGTGGTATATGTAAATTTCAATTACGTGGAAAAAGTAAAGTAACGATATACGTGTAGGCGTAGAGCAATAATCGCGATATCGTCACACATAAGCTTGCGCGCGAGTTTCGTGCAGTGTGGATATCGAATGAACCGCCACGTTGTAGATTCGTTACGCGAGTTACGATTTGAATAAGCGTGATGTATAAAGAAAAAAAAAAAAAAAAAAAAAAAATTACGGGGTGCGATAAAATCGGCGTATATGTCATACTTTTACGCGCATCGGCGGATCGCTGATGTGAATTTAATGCCCTAAAATGACCGCTTGCAACGTGCAATCGTTTCGTAACGTAAGATATATTCAGGGACACGGTGTGCACACGATATACGTACTGCCGTGACGGTTTAAAATCGATTAAGGTGTTCGATCGAGAGCCTCTCGGTTTACGCCTGCACCGAAAGCGAAACAAGCGGAATATTTTACAATGCATCACTTCGCGAAAATAAAGGACATTAAAGTGATGATTCGACACTTGAGTTTTTTTTTGGGACCAAATCGGTCAAATGTACACGAAAAATCGGTAATATTCTTCTCGGAAGCATACATTTATCGTCATTTTCTGTCTTGCCTAATCGGTGGTCTGCACGCGCACAGTGTCAAGATGCCTCTCGATTGCATTCCTCTCGGCGTAGTACGTACCTACACACGCTCGTAATAAAAATAAAAGCATCGTTTCGTCGATGCCTCCGAGTCCACGTATAGCTGCAGCAGGGCACCGGCGAGCTTGATTAATTTTCATGGTTGAGGGAAGACGGGGGCGGAGTAGCCCCATGGGCAGTACAATGGGTATGGTTGTACGGGCGCTGATGCGTGATCGGCAATGAGCAAACGAGGGGGGGGGGGGTGAGAGAGAGGGAAGGAGGTGTGTATACGATAAAGCCCTAGGAAATCGAGATTGCATTGCAGATGTCCTCTGCGTCGTCGAAAACGTCGGTCGGCAGCGGCAACTGATGTCTAACGAAGGAGTAAAAGGGAGAGAGGGAGAGAAAAAGGCGGCAGGTGAGCCGGAATGCTTGAATAAGTCTCTGTTATTTTTAGATTTTTAAGCAGCAGCGCCGGCTCGGCTCTGTGTGTTGGTACAATAATAACAACGATAATGCCGCCTTGAAATAGTAAAGTCTATACACACGCCGTCTGATGCTCGGTTGGTTTCTCGCTTCCTCTTCTTCCTCGTTTTTTTCTCTCCTTCTTTTTACATTTTTTTTTTTTTTTTTTTTTTTTTCCATACGGTGTCGCTTGTACTTTCGTGCGTATGTAAAATGAAAGGGACGTTGATCGATCGGGTGAGAAAGGGGTTGATGAAAAGGAACGGGGGAACGGCTTCATTGAGCAATCATTGTGGCTATCAACGAGTCTTTAGGTGACGTGTTGTTTGCGCCCTTTTTTTTTTGTTGTTGCAAATAAAACGGACCTTACACAACAACTTTCGATTAAATCATCAAAAAAGAAAATTAAATCATTACAATTTTATTCAATTATCGTTTGGTTGAGGAAAAAAATTTGGTGGTTAGGCATATTTTGTTACAATTTAATTGGTTAAGGTCGATTAATATTAGCATTTGAGGTTCTTAGAAGTAACATCAATCATAATCAAATATTTATGATGATAAAATTAATAGTTAATTCATAATTAATTGAAAATAATAGTCACATAACTAATAATTCATGTTAGCGTGTCAGCAAACGTAATTTGATCTATTCATTATTATAATACAAATTAGTAACATACTAAATATAGAGAAAAGCGCGAGCACTCATCTAAAAAACCATCATCCAAATAAATAAATAATTGAAAAAACACCCACGCACACCCATTCCCATCAAATATCCGTGAAAGTCCCATGTGCGCTCAGCGCCCGCATGTCTCCCTCTACACCCGCATCATTGTCGGCTATAACGAGCCCAAGACGCGAAGGAAAAAAAAAAAAAAAGAAAAAATAAAGAAAAGCAGGCGTCATCGTCGTCGTCATCCAGCAGTGCCGTGACACGTAATCTCCGGCAATTTGTCATCCTTCTCTCACCAGACCCCATACACCCCGCGCGCACTCGTCTTTCCGCTTCCTTGGCACTGGACACCACTCGCCGACTTCGCGAGCCCACGTGAGTTATACGCGTTTTGCCGACCTAGCCTTTACTTTTAATTTTTTTTTCATTCTCATTGTCTCTTTAATGAATGGGGGGGGGGAGCGAAGGGGCTGCAATCAAATGTCTGTAAAA